GATATGCGGAAAAATTTCCAGGAAGAACTGTACCGGATGCAAAAGCATTTTTGAATTAAGAGAGAAGATGCCGTGATACTGGAACCTTTAAATCAAAAAAGGTAAATTCTGGAAGATCACAAGTGGCAAGAATTCCTCAAATAGAAGAAAATATTTTAAATGTAGTTGTTGCGGATCTTATGATAAGTGTAAGAAATGTGGCAAGGGCAAGTAACACAAGTATTTCTAGTGTACACCGTGTATTAAAAGAACAATTATTGCACCCATTTCACTACAGGCAAGTACAAGAATTATTGCCTGAAGCGAATTATTACAAGCAAGAAGGAGACAGAGTCCTGATTTTTTACAAAATATTCTTTTCACCGATGAATCAACTTTTACTAGACAAGGTATGTTTAATAGTCATAACAGTCACTTCTGGGTCGATCTTAAACCGTCTCAGAGATAATTAAAAAAAAAAAATTTTTGGGGCCCCTTTTACAGAACCGTATCTTCTGAAGGAGGCATTTTCGGACACATGTTTATTAACCAAACTAACATTATTTTTTAATATTCTATTTACCCTAGAAATTAGCGGAACGTTTTTTTTAAACAACCTGTATATACATTTGTCAATTAAATAATATTTTAACTTAGATTTAAACCTACCGAGATTGTCAATCATTTTTATTTTCAAGGGTAAGTTATTAAACACCCTGGGTCCAAACACAAAAGGAGACTTTACAGGCACATTATAATTACTACAAGGCACACAAAAAGTATTCTATTGTCTAGTTTTATATGTATGCAAAGCACATACTTTGTTAAAATATGTTTGTTGTTGAAAAAGAAAACACATAATTGAAAGATGTAAAGACTCGGAAGCGTTAATATTTTATATTCCTTAAATATATTTTTACAAGATTGTCTACTTGTTACTCCTGCTATATATCTAAGAATACGTTTTTGTGCCACAAATACACTTTTCGCAGTTACAGAATTTCCCTAAAATATTATACCATATCTCAGCCTAGAACTGACTTGTGCGTGATACAGGCCCATGACTGTTTCTCACTGTAGTACAAGATAACACAGTGAATGTAATTTCGATGTTAAATTATTACATTGTTCCTTCCAATTTAGGGAATCGTCCAGTTGCAAACCCAGAAACTTAGCACGCTTACATTTAGAAATGGAGATATCATTGATGTTTAGATCTAGCTCTGCACACTGCTTCTGCCAATTATGAAATCTTATAACAAGTGGACCATGGGAGCGGGAAGTTTTGAAAATGTTATTATTTCATTACTATGCATAGGTTGCCGCGGATTTGTTTGACAAATTATCTGTCATTTTATGCCATTTAGTAATCATGGAACAGTGGTCCGGCAAACAACGTTCTTTTGTGATTAAGTCTTGCTACAAAAATAATGATTGTGTGGTCGCAACACAGCGGCAATTTCGAATTAATTTCAACATTGCTCGTCACGGGAGAATTCCATCTGCCCATGCCATAAAGGAGTGGGTTCGTAAATTTGAAGACACTGGATCAGCTGAAAATGTTAAACATAAGGGACCAAACAGAAGTGTCAGAAGTCTTGAAAACATTGATCGCGTTAGAGCATCTGTAGAGCGCAGTCCAAAACGTTCAAGTCGAAAACAAAAGGATATCAATTTTCATCCTTACAAAATCCAGATTGTCCAAGCATTGAAACCAACAGATCTTCCTGTTCGCCTACATTTTGCTGAAACGATGCTACAGCATGAACTTGACGTTCACAATTTATGGATGTCTGATGAAGCACATTTCCATTTATCTGGCTATACCAATAAACAAAACAGCCGTTATTGGGCTTTGGAAAACCCACAAGAACTTTATCAACAGCCGTTACACAGCCATAAGGTAACAGTATGGTGCGCAATATCTTCAATGGGAATCATAGGTCCCTATTTTTTTGAGGATCACAATGAAAATGCTTTAACAGTCAATGCTGCACGCTATACTGACATGATTAACCAGTTCCTTACACAGCAACTGAACATGTTTCTACAGAACAATAGCTGGTTCCAGCAAGATGGCGCTACTTCACATGTCGCAAGAGCATCAATGAATTCTGTGCGAAGATTGTTTCCAGGTCGTGTTATCTCCAGACAAGGAGACAATGAGTGGCCCCCAAGATCGCCAGATCTTACGCCATGCGACTACTTTTTGTGGAGCTATCTAAAAAGCAAGGTGTTCATTGACAAACCACGAGATATTCGGGAGTTGAAAATGAAAATTCGGGAAGAAATTGCTAATATTCCGTTGGATATGTTGCGTCGTGTTATGCAGAATTTCAACGTTCGGCTTCAAGAGTGTATGGAGAGAAGAGGAGGCCATTTAGCAGGCATAATTTTTAAGAAATAAAAATGGCACACAATTATCTTGTTATTGCTATACTTTGTTTTAATTAAATACAGTCACTTTCGGAAATACGTCGTTTTCAAAACTTCCCGCTCCCATGGTCCACCTGTTATAATGAGTTTTATTGACGTTAAAATAGAGAGAATTTGCTGTGTGCCAATTTGCGACGTCATTAAGTATATTATTACACTTGACTTGTAACGACTCATCTATTACATGAGAAATTAATAGAGATGTATCATCAGCATACATTGTTAAACAAGCGTCTTCAACTATTTTCGCGAAATCATTAACGTAAAGCAAAAACAATATGGGACCCACAATCGAACCCTGTGGGACCCCCAAATTACCAGACGCACGCTTCGAATTTATTCTATTCGCAATTCCATCTTTATAATGGGCCACATTAACATATTGCTCTCTGTTTAATATAAAAGATCTAACCCAATTCAGAGCCAAACCGCGAATACCATAAATGATGATAATTTTAATAGTAATATTTTATGATCAACGCAGTCGAATGCCCCGCTGAGGTCACAAAATACCCCAACAGGGCACTCGCCAGCCTCAATACATTCCAACACCTTCCTATAAAAAATTGCCATAGCAGTGGTAGTAGACCTTCCTGCTATAAACCCATGCTGGTTATGCGAAATTATATTATGTTTAATCAAGAAATGACATGAGACGGTATAAATAACTATATTCGAAAATTTTAGAAAATCCCGATGTTAAAGTAACTGGTCGACAATTTTCAACGCAATGAACATCATGTTTCTTGTGCACAGGTACAATTTTACCGATTTTTAAACTTGATGGAAATGTACCTTACTTTTTTTTAAATATATTATAATATAAGTTTATTATAAATGCACGGTTTCAATCATTCAATGTGCCAACTTACATTTCTAGTCAAACTGAGATAGCATGTTTTTACCTAAAAATCCGATTGTGAGTTAGCATATTTTCCAAGCTTAATTTGAGATAGCATGTTTTCCAACTGACATTTAAGATAGCATGTTTTCCAACCGAAATCTGATAGAGCATGTTTTCGTACTAAAGCGTCGAACCATACTAAGAGACTCGTACATTATTTTAGTAATCAATGGTCGCTGTGAGATACCCTGTGCACACATAAAAAAAAAAGAAATTGCGGGAAATTAGGCTTAAAAACATTTTTTACTTTTGTTCAAAAATTTTCAAATTATAATAATTTTAGTATCTAACTGGAAAACATATAAGAACTTAAACACCATCTATTAATACTTTGCCAAAAGTCTTTTTTTATTCCCCGTGAATTAAACTATTAATCATATTAATGGAAGCTTCATAAAAGTATATAAAAACAAACAAAAAATTAGATACAATTTATTATTTATGTGCCTAATATCACAAACTAATGATACCTACCTGCGAGTAAAAGGAAAATACAATGTAAAAACACATAGGTAAGTATTTACTTAACTTGTTAATTTGTTTTTGGTGCGACCATCCGATAAACGTACGACTGAATAGTTAGGTTTAATGTAAATTGCTGGTACTGCAGGATAAAGATGACGTATGTAAGAGTGTGAGAAAAAGTATCAAACGATAATTTTAATGGTGGGCTAAAATATAGTATTTAAACGAAGTTAATTTTATAAATAAATATTGTGATTATTTTCTATCCATCAAAGAAATATATATAATATATAATAAACAGTTTGGACATTAGGTATTGTTATTTTACAAACAGTATAGCTATGTTAAAATCGAATCCGATATATTCTAGTATAACTAAACAGGAATTTGTTAAGTCTATAGATTTGCAGTCAAGTACTATTCTTAAAATAATAAATTACTATAAGTTTTTAATACAAATTTCTTCTGTACAAACACTTTTTTAAATTTATAATCGAATAGACCGTATTCATAAAATTATGTATAGCAATACATTTGCAGATTTGGAAGAAACAGAATTGTAAGTTTTAAGGTAATTCGAAATTTTATAAAAAAAAATATGATAAAACGGGGATGACAGAGTCTGCATAAAACTTTGTAACTGGTTATTCACATTGCAGATGCGTGTTTTACTTTCGTTTTGTGGTTTTGGTAAATGTAATAAAAAAAATGAATACTTGGTATATCCCATTTTAATTGGATTTAATCTGGTATATAATGGGAATATAGGTACGTTTCATTTCATAATGTAGATAAATACTAAAAATTATGAGGATCTGTTATATGAAAGAAGTTATAAAGATTTTTACAGTCTACAACTTTATAAATACTTTTTAGAAAGTATCTTCAAATGTCAAATAGGAGAAAGCTGGATTTAGGTCCGCGTATATAAATATATATTGGTATTTTAAAGTTTGTTTTCTTTCCAAGTGTTCAAAAATGTTTAGGGCGTTTCATTTAAAATTTTAGTAAAAAAATTTAGTAAAAAGAAATTGAGTAAAAAGGTGTTTTGTTTGTATGCTTCCGTGGCTGTCGTTAATTGTTGAATGATTTCCGGATTGGTTACAATCTCTCTCTAAGAGTTGTAAATCGACGACGTGTAACCAGCCCGGAAATCATTCAACCAAAAAGGTGTGATAGTTTTGAAATTAAAACTGTTGTGGTACACATATTTTAGGATTTAAGGAAGCACAAACAAGAATGCCATCTTTGTGAAATAGAGATAATTGCTAATGACTTAAGACACACTTTAATGGAGCTAAAGGAATGGGCGAAGCCTGAAAAACCTGAAAAACGACTTGTAAATGTCTTAGACGGGGTGTATCGCTACAAAGATCCCTATGGTGTAGTTTTAATTATAGGGGCCTGGAATTACCCTCTACTTTTAACTCTTGGACCACTAGTAGGTAAGAGTAAAGTTTTTATTGTGAATTGTAAAAAAATTTAATAACAACACTATTGCGTGAAATTTCTCCCAACAAGTAAAACATTTTTTAGTATTATTTATTACAAATATCCGTTAGCTCGTGAGTTGTGACTTTTGGCAAATCCCGACTCAAATATTTTAATCAAATTAAAAAAACGAATTCCCCTTTGGTTTTATAAACTTGTACACTCCAATTTTTGAAAGTTGTCATAAATATTTAATATTTCATTGCTTTACGACGTGAAAGTTAAGATTAAATGCTGAACTAGTTAAATACTGAATGAATACTTTTAAAGAGTGTAACTCTTACGCCATTTAAAGTTTTTATAATTCTTTTCTTAGGTAGCTCGTCACCAATAATAAATGTACCAATATGAAGAATATTAATCGAAAAAAAAAACTAAGAAAAAGTTGTGGGAAAATATGAATAAAAAAAATAATTTTGAGCATATGTAAATAAGTGTCGCGTTTTTGAAATAGTGTTACAGGAATTTATACCGGGTGGCTCAAGTGAGTGGCCTATTAGATTATTTCAGAACCTACTTCGATTTAAATTTTGAAAATTGGCACACTAGGGTTTTTGGGTGCGCTCTTTTCAAATCTAATAATCTTGTTCCTGTAAAACTTTCGGTTATACCGGAAGTTGACGTCCACTTTGTTATTTTAAATGGAACATTGTATACTTTTACATTTTTGGATTATACGCTTCATTTTAAGGAGACTTTCATCAAGATTCCCTATTCCTAAAATTATCCGTTTTAGAGATATTTAGATTTTTAGGAAAAAAAAATAAAAATCAGAACTTTCTTTAAAGCCGTGTGTTTTCTACAGTTAAGGCAGATAAAGTAACAATATTTGCAGGAGCAGGAGCTAAATACCTAAGCTGCATAACCATATCTTCAGAGTTACCGAATCTTATACAGGGTGGTAATAATTCAATACCGAGTTTGGTCCACTGGAACTAGATTTTTTGTAATGGAACACCCCATATATTTTTTCAAATATTCACAGACATCCTCGCGGTTAAGTATGAATACTTAATAATAATATCAATCTATTTCAGTACCCAAATATCTTCAAATAACATAAAAACTCGGTATTGAATTATCACCACCCTGTATAAGATTCGATAACTCTGAAGATATGGTTATGCAGCTTAGGTATTTAGCTGCTGCTCCTGCAAATATTGTTGCTTTATCTGTCTAACTGTAGAATGTGCACGGCTTAAAGTAGATTCTGATTTTTAATCTATGTTCCTAAAAAAACTAAATATCTCGAAAACGGATAATTTTAAGAATAGGGGAAACTTGATGAAAGTCACCTTAAAATGAAGCGTTCCTTGTGTATTCCGAAAGCAAGTGAAAGCTTCCAGAACGAAGAAAGATATAAGGAATTTTCGAAATGCTTGCATATGTCAAAATTTTTGTCAAATGTCGATTATCTCGAGAACGGTTAAATTTAGGTACAGAGAAGCTTTAACATGTTTGATTTATTTTTAATTTATACTGTCGATAATGCAATAATATATAAAGGGTTCCATTTAAAATAACGAAGTTGACAGCTACTTCCGGTTTAACCAGAAGTGCTACGTTGATGGCATTATTTTCATTGAAAATAATATATCTGATAACCCCCGTAAACAAAATTTCAGAATCATATTGTCTTTGGTTTCTCTGAAACATTTAATATAGGCCAATTACCGTGAAGAACCCTGCATAAGGATCTTCGATTTTAAAATTTTAAAGTCCTTTTTGTAGATTCCGCTTCAATCATTATAACAATCTATTTTTTTTAAGTTCCTAATATTCTTTGAATTATATGTATCACCAAACAAGTATCATATTCTTTTTATAAAATTGTAACATTAATGAATTCTAATACGTGTAATTTCTCTAAAATAGTACTTACATTGAATTTTCTGTAACAATGCCTAGTGTTAGGACCAAAGCTTCCTCTCTGATCAACATTCCTTTTCTTAAATTAGAAGTCCACATCACTCACATCACTTGGTTTTGCAGTAACACTAAAATATCTAATAGCAGGTAATATCGATGGACAGGAACAGATTCATTAAAAAAGTTACACATACTTAATGTATACCATCATTATCTAATAATTACAAATTACAACATCACGCATCATTTAAATCTAAGCCGACACTACCGCGGCCCAAATGGGCGGGTGTCAAAATGTATTGTTTTTCTCAGCGTGGCTATTTCAGTTTTTGGAGTGTAAGATTTTTTATAAAGTAAAAAATGCTCCTCAAAAACCATCTCGTAAAGGCAATTATTTTCACAGCTGACAGAATACCTACACAGATGGCATAGTATTAAATAACTTTTATATCTAATTGATAAGTTAGTTACCTTTAACTGAATATTTTAGGTGCTTTGGCGGCTGGTAATGTTGTAATTTTGAAACCGTCAGAATTATCTCCTGCGACGTCCAGTATGACGGCTAAGATTTTGACAAAATATCTGGATAAAGAATGTTTTCAAGTCTTTCTTGGAGGAGTAGAGGAAACCACTGAACTACTGAAGGAAAAATTCGATTATATTTTCTTTACTGGTTCAACAACTGTTGGCAGAATTGTTTACCAAGCAGCTGCGAAATATTTAACACCGACTACTTTAGAACTAGGTATGACTCATTCTTTGATATTTAAACAGGTACCTACACTATAAGAAAGCATTTACATTCTTGACAAACATACAAAATGCATTTTTAAAATCACCCCTTCAAGAACAAAATTTGCATACCTACATCATGTTTTAATTCAAATATTATTTTTCATTTCCAAGTATAATTGAAATATCTTTTTTGATTTGGATTTTGACAGCAAGTTCAGTTTTATCGAACACATTAATCGAACATAATATTAACCATATTACTTCTACTGTTTAAATAATATGGCTTCATATAGCACATCTGCAAGGACTTTGAAAATTCTGTTTTGAGCTCTTCTGAAATCTAAAATCTAGTACACTTCGGTGATATGGAATCCGATTTATCATTATCACGTTCTTTTAGTTACTTTCTTTTAGTTTCTCTATATCTTTGAAATTTGTTGGTTCATTTTTGTTACACTCTCTATACCTAAATGTTGGCAATTCTTTAATGACATATTTTCAAATTGAATGTAATCACTAAACATTTATATAATCAGACAATTAGACAAATGAATACCTATTGCAGCCTTTAATCATAAATTTTTTAGGCATTGATTTTTTATATTGACCTACATATGATTAAACAGTAGATGAACTGTTAGTCAAATACAGCAGTTTTTAATTATATTATTTCAAGATCCCTTACATAATTCTGACATCTGGTATCAGATTTCACTTTATTTATTTATTTATTTCTAAAATTTTATGATCAGCACGAACAGTTTTCAAAGAAAAAAAAAGTTATTAGACAAAACTATAACACAGCCCCAGAAAAAAGTTCTGTAGGTACCAGCGATATGAGCACATATATTTTGTGTAATTTTTGATGCTGAATCCGAATCCTTAGCCCAAAAACCGGTCTATTAGGGTATTTTTTAGTCAAACGCTAAAATATCCCCTAAAATAGGGTGAAATTTTAAAGATAAGGTAAAACAATGTGAAAAACCATAGCCTTGTACTTTATACTACTACTGATTTATAACTTATCCAAAAAAATTTTTTGAATGTACAGGGGACTTTTATAAATACAATGTTGTAAAAAAATCAAAAAGGGCAGTTCGAAATTGATTTAAAAATACACTTCTGCACGACATTGGAAACTGGTCTACTGTAAAACCTAACCTTGCGCAAGGTAAAGGACGCAGTCGGCGACCGGCATGGCGGCAAAGTGTAATAAAAAATGAAATGACAAAAAATTGAAACAATTTCTTTCGTAAAGAAAGAATATTAATATATTCCCAAGTTTTTTGGAAGTTGGAAACAATAGAGTATAGTTATCCGTCAAAGGGTTAGTATCCACCTGTAGACGACGGTCCGACTTACCCCTTTAAGACACAAATTTTTCTATTAAATATTTTTGTCTGAATTTTTTTGTTTGAGGGCCCCTGATTACGAATCTGAATTCCGAACCCGTTTTAACGTTTTACTAAAAATTGCCCTGGTAGATCGGTTTTTTAGGCTACGGATTCGGATTCAGCATCAAAATATACAAAAGATCAATATATTTATGTCTGGTACAGAACTTTTTGTTGTAAGCCTGTGCAATTACTAAAAAAAATATTAGATTTTTTTAAACCGACAAACGAAATCATAAATGAAAAATACTAAATCCTTTAATCCTATATTTAATCGATAAGTGAATTTTTCATTTTAAATAAAATGGACAAATGTGTGTTTGATAGATTGCAAGCTTGTTCTGTGGATACTTAAATTTTATTCAGAATGAATCTGTAATTATGAATTATGATAGGAGATAATTGAAACTGCGGAGTTATTTCTGCATAACTGTGTATATTAATGTGGTGATAATGTAATTAAATTTTCCTGGACTATCTTGCCGGAAAATGCTTTAAAAGAGGAGTGGTTTATTTATGCCTGATAGTAAAATAATCACATTAAAACCGTGCTTTATATCTAAGCCTTTGCTTTACATACACTATACACAGCATTAAGAGAATGGGATTTTAATGCTAATAATAGAAAAGTAATGTCATACGTCTAGAATCTTCAACAAACTTTTTGTATCAGGACTAATCACAGTTTTCATTGCAAATATCATAGACGATTCTTTTGTTTATAGAATGTAATCGTCAACTTTGATTTGAACAACTCGTATATTGTTAAAGATGCACAGTATAAAATTTTTACTAAAAAATAGGTCTCTAAAATGAACCATACCACTGCCCTACTTCGGAAAAAGACCGTATGTGCAGTTTTGTGACAAATTGAGATAATTACATTTTCGAAATCTACATCGCATTATACCTATCTATAAATATCATAATATCTATGAATATCGTTTTTATTTCTTTAAATTTGAAAATTTGTACATTTTAATTTCTAATATTGTGTCACTCTTATTTTCCTCGTCGCTATACTAAAAAAAAACACCATATGTGTCTGATGCAGACTTATGTGCATGTATTTCATTAAGAGGTACATAGTATAAACGCCGCATGTGACCACATACGGTTTTCGCTCTAGCAGAAGCGTTGAAATACGATGTTTTTAACAAATTAAATTCTTATGTGTTCACATGCGTTGTTTTAAATTAAACAACAATTAAACATTATTTGCATCACAATATATTAAAAATTGTAAAATATCCTGAAAAAACATACAAAATATCATGTATGCGATGTATATGTTCTGGTTCTTCTATTAATTTCTGTTGAAAATGTAGCACATATTGCACATACGGCATTTTGACCTAGCAAAATCTTAAATTTATTAAGACAAAACAACATATGTGACGCTGTTTTTATTGAAATTGCGAAATTTTCTAACATTCTTGAAATAGGTACATTTGTCTTTCATTTGGTGTTACCGAAAAATTCAAGTTATTACGTTAATTAGTAAATGAATTACAACCAAATGAAGTATTTTCTCTAAACTGTCATATGTGCACATACGGTCTTCTTCCGAGGTAGGGCAGAATATTGACTTAAAATTCCGATATAACATACAGCGTGCTTCTTTAATATTTCGAACAACCTTAAGGAACAATTACTAAAACGTAAGGAGGATCTTCTACAGGCTGTTACAAATTCGCTTCTCAATACAGGGATCTCGGAAACGGCAAGAGATACGAAGTAGCTTAAATGGGGGCAAAGTTGCATAATCAGGGGACCAACATTATGCCTCTAAAAAATCAAGGCTAACATGATTAGTTTACGAAATATTTGAAAAAACCCGAAATTTTGGAAATCCGTTTTTGATTTATTTCAGCCTTGTTTGAGGTGATATTGAAAAAAGAAGAACACTTTCTCATTGCAAGTTTTTGCCCTCTTCATTTTTTTAAATACGACCCTGGAAATTTTATTACATTTTTTGCAAGCCTTCATGACTCCCAATACTGTACTGTCTCAGCCCGAACCAGATTCAGACGTTTTGTCTCGAAAAATTCATCTTCAATGTATTCGTTCAGGTGGGATTGCCTAAAAAATGTTTTGAAGCCTGTGGATCTTTTGAAAGGGAAGCAAATATTTTGAGAATTGTTTTTTGTTGGATTTCTTACGATTTCATAAAGGTGGTCAACGATAAAAAATTTTGATTTTCAAATCCTGAAACTAGAAACTTCAAGCTTCAATTTGCCTTTCTTATTAGTTCTCTACGACCATTTTACAGCCTTTTGAAGATCACCTAAAAATTTAGAATTTTTTTCATCCTTTTATTTTGATGACTAGTGTAATAGACCTCATATAATTCCAAAATACTTTATACTTCTAGGACCTTCGATGATAGTGTAAATACACGTCTGTTTAAAATCCAACTCCCAGATGTGTTTTTTCTTTACCACAACTGTTGTCTCAGTAGAGCATTAATTCAACAGGAAGGAATTTCAAAAACATAATGCTTACATAGTTACGTAACGCCTACCGAACGTACATATTGAGATTATGCATCAAGGAAAGTCCCCATTCACTACACCTCGTTCTGATACCATCTACATTATGAAAGTAAATTTCCGGTAATCCTGTTTACGTTCTTGGGAAACTGAGACGCCTTGCGCCTCACATGAATTTAAAACGCATTTGCCCAAGTGCTACAACAAGTAATGAGTATGTAGAAGGTAAATAACGTATTGGATTATTATTCTGTAGATGCAAGTCGAACCAAAATAATGCCACTCGGATGCCACAAATTAATAATAATAATAATAATAATAACAATAATAATAATAATAATAATAATAATGATAATAATAATAATAATAATAATAATAATAATTAATAAAAAATTTAGAAAAAAAACAAAAAAATATCATTCCAACATGATACAAACAAAATGTAATTTACAAAAAATACAAGTA